CTGCCCATATCCCGAATCCTAAACTAATCGGGTTTGATATGTGTTTATTTTTCATTCTCCTATTCACAATAATTTATATACGATCTTATCACAAACTATTCACTTGTCATAAATTTACTAGCTACTTCCGCGGTTTCACACGTTCTGCTCAGCTCTTATTGGTCGTAGCGTGATGTTTTATAGCCTATAGCCATCCTCGATAAATGCGATATCCAACATAAAAAGAATTATTCAAATCAGACTTGTAGTTACGGAAATTAGCGCGTTCAAACAAACAAACAAAAAAACAAACTCGTCCGCTTTATATAATAGTATAAGATAAGACAAGATAAGATTTGCACAACCTTTGACCGTCTCTTTAAACTACAGCCAAATAAAAACTACCCTGAAAAATATGGTGTTAAAATATGTATTTAAAAGTGAATATTTATAAAGTAGCCCATCAGTTTACAGCCGTTAGCTGCCTGCAAATTGAGTTGATATTATCGCATGATTGCGTTTTCTGCGAACGCTGCGCAGTCATGATGAAAATAAAGTTTCAGTCTGGAGAGATATAAATTAACATTTTCTGCAATTTATTTACCGATGCAATCGAATTATTTAAATGAAGTAAATGTGGAATGGGAGGCTTTAATTAAAAACCTAAGTAGGTAAGCTATGGCAGTGTACAGTTAGTGTTGCTACTTGTTAATCGTAATGTATTATCGTATTCTATGAAAAATCGGATATGCTAATAAGTAATCATTAATAGCATTAAATAATAACGAATTAGTCACATAAAAAATAATGTTAAGACTCCTGCTTGATAAGTTTATTAATATTATCAAGATTTAATTCTCTCTGGAAATTAAGAGATAGAAAAAAATCGATTAAATGTCAACTATTCAATAATCACATGTCGGCAATAGAGTATTGTTTTGTTTTTTATCAAAGTATAGACGATTTTTTCTCATTAGATTAAGTATTTATTTGAATAATTCATTACTTTTTTCGTTAATTTTTTTAATGTAGATACACGTGTTGGTATCATCCTTATTTTTTTGGATCGCATATTTTAATTTTATATGTCAAATAGTCATTATCCTAGTATCAACGACCTCTCAAGGTGATTGGCGAAATGTCGAATGCCACCACTCTCATTTTCATAGTAATCACCTAATTATTTAGTATCATAGTTTCTTTTACGGCTAGACATAACAAGGAACATTCCTGATTGTGGCTATTTTTGGTTTATGGCTTTAGTGGTCGATTAATGATGTTTTGCAGGTTCGTTTTGTGATCAGATTGCAGGGTGCTGAACCGGTCCTTTAACTCATATGCTGAACTCTCCAAGGAGAGCCGCTGAGGTGAAAAACATGAGCTGACTTGGACTTGAACTTACTGCAGGGAAGATTTGATTCAGGATTGACTAGAGCGTTGCATTCTGAGCATCGTACGATTTTTTTAACTACAACGATTACGGTGCTGTATCAAATTATCTAAAATCAGTACTTATTGAATTTAACTTTCCTTAACAGTGTGCAAATAGTTTAAACTTCTTTTTCATCTTATTTGTATTCCTTGAGTGATATTTTTTCATTGGTGTAAACATTGGCAACTACAACTTAGGTACAAGTCTTATTATAAAAACTGATGGGAAGTTTCTTGAAATGATGTCTGGACAGGACTGTAAAAACTAAAAAGGAATTAATTAATGGATTTTAGACTCTCTTTCATCGACCCTGTAACAGAAACTCGATGTCCACATTTTTGCCCATTAATTATTATTTACATTGACTTTAATTAACTTTATTTGAAACTGCCTCGTTGACCGATTGATTGCAAGTGCGACTGCCGGGCAAACGGTCTCGAATCCCGGATGGGGCAAAATATTACAGGGCTTTATTAAAAAATCTCTCAGTAGTAGCACTCAGGGGTCTGGAAATGTGCCCGGTATATAGCAATAGGCTCACCTCCTATTACATGGGACTCATAACATAAATAGTGAAAAGTGGGTGTTACATTGTACAGTGGCATTAAGTGCCACAATGTAATGTGAACCTCTGCCTATTTTTTCGGGAATAAAAGGCGTGATGTTATATGTATTTGATAAATAATCTACCTATGTGTAACTAAAAATAGTTGCTTCGTTAATTTGTTTTTATTGAGTTTAACAAGGATATGAAGCGTATTTTAAGATCGTTAACAGGTTTTAATTGATCGGTGAAGTAAAATAAAATAAATGATGGCAAAACAACACTTAGATATAAGATATATAAATGCGAGTTCTTAAATATATCTTCGATAAAGGTCAGTTGACGACCTATGACCATGAACTTTACATTTTTTCAAAATCTCCATAGCAATAAAGTCAATTGGAATATCATCTCTATTTCATTTTATACGTTTTTGGACATAAATAGCTGAATTTATATAAGAGTCCTTTTTAGAAAATAAAATGCGGATGTCATTCGATTACAATCGAAAGTTTTTATTTCAATAATAATGTAGACGGTCGAGGTAAGGTCAATACTTTTTATTTTGACTGAACAAGTCCTTGTTTTTGTCGGTACTATAACAAACATTAAAAAAAAATAGGTACCTAAATAACTAATAATCTAGACTATTAATCTATGTCGTGGTGGCGGAGGTTTAAGACGCCCGCTTCTCATGCATGAGGGTGCGGGTTCGAAACCTACCAACGGCAAGTACCAATGTGACGTTTTCCAAGTTATATGTACTTTCTAAGAATATTTAGACACCACTGACAAACGGTGAAGGAAAAACATCGTGAGGAAACCTGGACTTATAATTTCTGATTATAAGTTTGAAATCGCCAACCCGCATTGAGCAAGCGTGGTGATTAATTCTCTAATGCGAAACCTTCTCCGTGTGAGAAGAGGCTTTGCTCAGCAGTGGGCATTTTGTTGATGATTAATCTATAACATACTTAAAATTTTAATCATAAGATAAACGGTCAAATTTTAATGTCAAAAAAGGTATCTTTTCCAAATAAGATGATTGGAATTTCCAAGTTTTCAGTACCTATACATACGATATAACAAAATGGACACTTACATGGTCCAACTTACGCCAAAAGGCTCGCCCCCTACTCATTGCATAACCGATGGTGACATAATGACCATTCCTGTCAACTTGTTTCAGGTAAAACCACTACATTGTGCTTGTCTTGAACCCTGATCTTGAATATACTTAAATATTATATCTATCTGTTTTTTAGGTTTATTTGGTTTTTATTTGTAGTTTATTATATTTGTTCTATTAGAATATTACTAATGCATACGTTTAAAACTATAAAACTAAAAACGAAAACTACGAAAGCAAAGAAAAGAAAAACTAAAAGAACTATTTACAAAGAGCGCTAAACAAATCATCCGCATCGATGTCAATAGGGGATGTGGGTACCATTTTTTTAAGGGGGGAAAATCATCAATTGACTGCTCCCGCCTAGGTGAGGCGGGAGTGTCAGACTCTTACTGACAAAAACCAACCCGTCCCTTCTCCTGCCCGTCTAGCCGGAGCCCCGGTAACCCGTTAGGTTCTCCGCGACATGTGGGTACCATAGATATAATTTTTTTCTATGGTGGGTACATTGGAAGGCTGGCACCTGGCAGTATTGCCACGTTGTATCTCCATGTCTAGATCTATTAATGGTCGAAATTATTGGGTCGAAATCTGTGGATTGATCTAAGTCTTCGACAGAAAACCATACAATTAATGTCAAAAAAAAAAAATTATTACTTTCGTCCGTTTACCTTAACACAAAAAATTGAGAACTTTTAAAGACCTGCAAAATCGACTCGTGATGTTTTAGTGAATTTAGTTCAGAGGTCACCTGCACCGGATCACGAAACGCCACCGCTTATTAAATTGATTACACCTTGAACTGACGGTACAAAAATAACTTAAATATAACTTCAAAGACACTCGGGACTGTAGTTAGTTATAATTAAGTTTGATTTTGGGTAGCACTTAAAATGATTATTTGCAATGGGTCAATAAATATGTAAGTAGTGTTCGCTGTAGTATGTTTTTGGAAGTTGGTATCTTCATGTATTAAAGACGTGAGAAATAGTAAGAATACGAGAACTTTTGCGAACCACAGACATATAGCTCTAGAATTATATGTTCTAGAATTTTTTAAGTAGGTAGGTGTACACCTATGTATATTATATACATATGTAATATAGGTAAAATAAACAAGTATTTCTTGTATATATTTTTTAACGTCCTACATTAAGATTTTCTTCTTTATCGTGATTGCATTTAACACAGTTACCTACTCGTCTGACCACTGTGTTATTCGTACGAGTCGTTCATTGTTTCGTCTACCCAAATGCAAATAGTGAGATGTGGTGATTTTCTTTGTCTTATGAAACGAACTGGGTAATTGTCCAATGTTGACAGTACACCTTGCAATAGGTAGGTACTGTCACGTTCTCATCTCAAATATTTGATCAAACTTTGACATAATATTTGTCGTAGCATACGTACTGAGATTCGGGTCGCGGTGTCTTTGACATATTTGTGTATACGTTGCGCATTATGAGTTGTATGTATTGACTAATGTTTGACCAACCTAACTGAAGTGCGCATGTTGTCCCAGAGTTAGAGGGGATATCATCAAATGATTGTAATGGCATTGAAAGTATCTTGATGACACTTCAAACAGTCTATATTGCTAGTCTAAATGTTAATACCTAGTCATTTAATTTAATGTAATTCGTCATCCAAATCCTAAAAGGAATCGATTTGATAAGTCGTTGATTGATGTAGATTATCATTCGTGTTGATATGATTTATACCGAATAATTAATTGATTAATTTCAGTCAAGCCAAACGTCAAGCTACAATTAGATGTAGAAAGCTGATATAATCATCGTTTAGTAAATACAATAGTAACGTGCTAGTGCTAAAATACAGTCATACCTTAAACAAAGTTTGTGCAAATTATATAATACGAATGCAATTCATTCAGAAAAACGTTAAAAGCTACTGAATTAATCGAGTATCGTGCTACCTGCATTAGTGTTGTATATGGAATCGATTTGTTCGCTCTCCACACTCTGTAGGCTGTCGTCTTCTCTTATCTCCTGGTCTTCTGTGAGCTCCTGATTGTCCACAGTGTCTTGATTCTCTTCTTCCATGGTCTCTGTCATTTCTGACTGTTGTGTCACTGGTGGTGTGGGCATCTTCACAGGGAGTATGTCGAGGATTGACGGCGCCTTCGGCACGGTACTCTGCAGCCCCAGCTTCTTCTGAATGAACGCTTCCAGTATCTGCTGGGTGATCTTGTTCTGTCTCTCCAGTTCATTCATGTCTGCGGAGAAAGGAGAAGACAGATAAAAATGACTGCGCGAAAGTTTCTCTCTTTTTCTCTTCAAGTCAAGAGTTTGACTGATAACAGGATTGGTTGGGGATCAGGATTTTAGAAAACGAGGTCATTTTTATCTGGTTCTCCCGTCTCGGGGACCGACAAATGGACTAACAATACATGATGATATATTATAAAATGTATTCTTAAAATGTATTCTTAATAGTATGATATGAATATCTGTTTGGACTCATGATTTTATATTTTGTGGAAATAAATACATCATTTAGAATAGATGTATGTACATATTTCTTAGGTAGTAAATATAGGTAGGTATGGTAAGAACTATTTAAGGTCTTACTGGTAAGTAGTATCTTTAAAACGTTCGTATAAATATTACCTCCTTATTGTATATGCCATTACCAAAAAAATTCTAAGCTTCCCAAACACCCCACTCCACCTTTCTAATAGAAATGAAACAAATAATTAACACAAATCGAACACAGATATCAACTAAATCAATGTTTATAAAATCTCATTGTTCTGTCGATACCAATCTTTATTACCATTCAAGTGATTTCTTACTTTCTCTATACATTGCACTGGATCTGATATCATCGGACAATGCTGTATCAGGAACAATGCTAGTAAGAGCAAATCGAAGTAGCTACCTTAGCTACCTCTTATTGTTGGATCAACTTTTGAGACAATAGGTGCAGACAACAGCAGGTCAAACTACACTAGACTATCAATACATTTGTAACTTTAACACTATGTGTTACAGTCAAAAATAATTTGAAGAGTTTTCATAGACTGGGGTATGTTGATATGCGTTTGTGTACGACTGCTATCCAGTATCTAAGGACGTCATCTAAAGAGTAACAGGGAAGGGAAGTAAAGTAGATACTAATTAATAACCTTACGTATTAATTGCCACGTTCAATTGTTTTTTTATAGGTTCAAGGTGCAAAGGATTGATGGCGTATTGTTCTAGTTTAAGTTCCACATGTGTAATTGTTTTAGTTATGTACCTAATTGTGATGATCTATGGTGATAGTGTAACATCTTGCTTTGTTTTCCCGGAAGAGGTTGATCGAGGTTTAATAGTATCTTCCTACTCGTTTATTGTCTTTTTTAATTTCAAGGTAGAAAACAGATGAAAAATCGCAATCGTTGTTGTTGTTTTAATGTGTTCTATTGTACTAAACGTACCAATACATCCGATCATGATCTGGCATCAAGGACTACATATTTAACAGTCTTTCTCGACTGCGAACTACGAATTTATAGAATCTCTAAGTACTTTAAAATAAAGGTGTGACGTTTTATATGTGTTTTGAAGTAAACGCGACGTCATAAAAATGTGACAAACATCTAAGAAACTCGTTTTAACTATGTATTGATACACATTTTTATGTTATGGTCAAATTACTTTATATTGATATTGTACTTTACGGAAGCTAATAACTAATATGTTTGCTTGACTGCCTTGTTGGCCGAGTGGTCGCAAGTGCGACTGCCGGGCAAGGGGTCTCGGGATCGATTCCCGGGTAAGGCAAAGTATTACTGGGTTTTTTTAAAAATCTCAGTAGTAGCACTGAGTCTGGAATTGTGCCCGGTATATGGCAATAGGCTCACACCCTATTACATGGGACTCATAACATAAATAGTGAAAAGCGGGTGTTACTTCTGTGTGCACCTCTGCCTACCCTTTTGGGGATAAAAGGCGTGATGTTATGTTATGTTATTAACATGAATATAATACAAATTTATTCCGGAACATTGACAAAGATGGATCTAGTCTATATGGACTTTAGCCACAATTCTTACAGTCTGCAATAAAATCCCAATAAATAATACTTATTCCAATTTGTGATCGTTATTCGAACTTGTGCGAAGATGATTGACATAAAAACAAAACATAAAATGTATTAATAGCCAATTAGTTACAATTAAAACGCTTTTGACCTTAGCTATAAAAAGTTTTAAAATAATATAAAAATAAAAGAATCTATTGATGTTCCAAAACGATCATATAATTAGTGCCTAAATACTTAGGTACCTAATGTCTAGCTTTCGCTTTCATATTTGATTGTTGGAACAAAAAATAAACATTATAGCAAATAGGTGTTAGCTAGGTATGCAAATATCAAAATACTTATCGAAGTGTTTTAATGAAATTAATGTTATGTTTTTCTATGACAAATAATTATGTGTTTATTATACCTAGACATTTCTCAAAAATCTAAAAAAACTAGATATTGTAGGTTTCCACTAAAGTAAGAAACACTATATTAATCCATGTAATAAATAACTAGTAAATAAGGATAAAATACCTGTAATTTTAGACTCTATGAACTATCTGACTGTGAAACCTTTTGGTAAGGAAATGTGTATGTGAACTTGTATGTTTGTAAACATATCCACGACACAAGAGAACATCTTAGTGTGGGCAACGTAAAAAAAACACAACAAAACAAAATAATTCTAAAATTCAATAGGTAATACTTTGCCAAGAATTTGACCCGACATCTCATATTAGGTAGTAATCAACAGAAGACAATAAAATTCCATTATAATGTGCCATTAATATATAACATATAATTCGGCTTAACATTTCGTCAAATGCTATCAAGTTATCAGCAGATGCATTTTTTACGATGACGAATTACTGCTATAAAATTAGGTATAACATTAATTAATAAAAATATAATAGATCGATGTCAAAGGTTAGACAAGTGAAATATCGCTTTAAAAATTGGCAACACATTAAACGAAGTCCCATTTTAAAAATGATTTCCTCCAAATAATGTTAATCGATAAAAAATCAATTTAACCAAAGTTTTAATCCCAAGGTGGCTAATCGATTACCTAGAAGAATTTTTGAATTAATATCAATCTGCCCAAGTAAAAATACATCAGTTTAATGGATTTTCGAGACTACTAAATTAATTGGTAAGATTGTCAAGATGGCTCATAATATATTAGCCACGCGTATGATTGTAGAACTTATGTAGTGACATTAGTTATTTAAAAAAAACTAGTTTCTCTCTAAAATTAATTACTAAGGCAAGTGGTTTTTTGTTAAATACGTGGTGTATGGTTTTTGATAAATCTTTATAAAAATTAATCGTTTTAGCAGGTTTTAAATGTAAAGTGGCTTTTCCACATTCAGTAATAAATAATAACAACGTCACGTCTGTTTTTCCCCCGAATACATAGGAATGGTTGCGATAGGAACAGTCCATATACTATTCTCTAGTGATATACTTTTATATAAGTTAAACTACTGAAACATATACATACAGGATGTATTTTATACACAGAAAGCTCTGGAAAAACGCCGACAGATGGCGGTAAAAATCAAGTATTTCCATAAAAATATGCCATGTAATGTTTCCTTTTTGTAATAATAGTTGTAATCAACCGCTCAAGGCGCGAATAACACGAAAACAAAAACGATTAAAAATGTCAAAATAGTTTCTTTCTGTCAGCGTTTCGGAAGCGTTCCTGCATGCAACCTACCTAGAGACATCACAAGTTAATTAAAAACTTGTAAAACTAGGTACTTACCTTAGGTATTTAAAAAACCTTGTTTAAAATAGTTGGTAAATAAATATAACTAAAATCCCTTTAGTTTCTTCACACACACACATATTTTTACCATTATGTCTAATGTCCTAAGCGTTATTATAAGTATACCAACCAACTTCGGACCAATTACGTAACTCCTGTCTGCTAATCAAGTGAGAGGCATGATTCATCATCCCAGGCTACCTCCAGGGACCCGTCTAACTACTCGATCGGGATGTTATACCTTCACACTATCCCCCAGTGGCACGAACAGATCTGTTCAATGTCAATTATTTCGATAATCATTCACATTCAGCTTTGTTCTGTCTTGTTCTATTGCAAATTAATTATCCTTTTGTTTGCAAACTGACTTTAATAATGAAAATTGTTACTTAGTTATGTAGTAAATCAACATTTTAATAATAAAAAGTCTTTTTAAATAAATTTCATCGATCGCAACGTTTTCTACTTTATAGTTTTAGAAAATATAATTCAAGCATTCCATATCCAAATATAATCTCATAACACGTTTCTTTATCCAGATTACAAATGTGGACATTAAATATTTTAATTATAATTTATTTACATACTTCAAATAAGAGTAGATATTTTTGTAGCTTTAACAAAATTAAAATTATATTTTTAAGTTCCTAAATGAATTTACATAATTAAACCACAGATACTGGCTGTCATAAATAAAACCATAGAGTCCTGTTGCGTTGAATATTGTACGTGTTCGAAGGTGAGTTAATTGGCTGAATGTGTATGTGCCTTGGCTATGGTAAAATAAACATGAAATTCTGACAACGAGGTATCAAAAAAAGAACGTCCAAGAGATGCAATGATAATTTTATTCATAAGGCGACGATCGACCAATCGAGTTTTATGAAAATTCACGTGCAAAATATAACAGATTTTTAGTGAAGAAAATTATATGTATTTTCATTAACAAAACGGCTTTAATATCGATCCAGAATTGAGTCATTAAAATTATTTGATTTAAATAAGTTTAATCGAATCGAACGAAAATTAAAAATTTATTGAACTGCGGAAAATTAATGTTTTGTGATTATTTTTTAATGTCAATACCATTGATCAAGGAAATGAGATTTTAAAGATCAGAGATTGATGGTTATTAGTTATTATATTTTATTGATTGATTTGTGCAGCAGAACTAGGTAATATCTTTTAAGTTATAATAAAATATGGAGGCCAGACGTTTTGTGGTTTATGACAATCTTTTGATATATAGATGTTAAATTCCTCTCTCAAGTCCTAAATGTCGATTTAAAAAGTCAAAGTCAATGACTCCAGTTTTAATTGTTTGTGTCATATAAAATCTTTACAATACATGCAATTAACTCGTCGAGTACCGGTTTTATAGACACAATTAAAGAACAATAGGTCGCGGTCATCGGTGACCGCTTGGTG